TGTGTGTGTGTGTGTGTGTGTGTGTGTGTGTGTGTGTGTGTGTGTGTGTGTTTGTGTATGTGTGTTTGTGTGTATGTGGTTGGAGTGGGAAGGGGTTGTAATCTAATTGAAGGCAACGCGTTAATTATCTTTTTACAACAGATTCTGCATGGCGTCATGCCATCCACAAATAGATTTCAGTTCTAGTTTTAGTGAGAGGTTTTCGACACTTGCAACACAAATAGGCCATATGCTAGAAAAAGAAGGAAGAGAGAGATATGAACGAAAGATGCCCAATATGACAGAAGGTGCAAACCACACAAGAGCATCCTCCAATCACCCCCTTGATGACAGACTCAACATCATAATCTTGCAAGTTCACAAACCCGTTCGCAGTTGTCAATTATGTCTCATAAATTGTCCTTACTTTTCAATTTGTTTAAAAGGTGTGAGTTTGTTTTTGTTTTGTTTTGTTTTTTTGTGTGTGTGGTTTATTTTTGCGGGGTCTAATCTACTAGAAGCCCCGCCTTAATTATCTTTTGCACTTGCTTCTGGATGACTTAGAGCGACCCACAAGTAGTTTCCAGTTTTAATTTTAGTTAAAGGTTTATGGAGTTTATAAAACAAGTAGGTCATAAATGTCGAAGATCAGAGATGGTACTAGAGAACAACAGAAAGCAAAAAGAAGGAGAAGAGATAAGAACGATATATTATGTTTGATAGAAAAGGAGTAAACAACACCGGAGCATTCGCCTACCACCCACGCTAGGAATTCTTTCACACGAACTGAATTGCAACTTTTCATTTTTTTACGTGCGAACTTTCTGTTATCTTATAGAAGGCCCCGCCTTCTTTATTGTCTAGTAATAGCTCCTGCATTACCTTGTGCCGTCCACAAATGTGTCACGACGCGGTGGAGTCAGGCTGTCGTCAATGTTTGGGCATATTAATATAGAGTTATTGAAACGATCTTCAAGCTTGTTCATTTGTCCTGTTTATTTAAGAAACAAGTTTCTATCTATCTTGAATAGGATGAGATTTTTTTGCGATTGAAGGAGGTCAGGGTCACTTTGTATCAGCGGCAAAATGAGCAAGAAAATGTGTCACTTTCAAAGCCGGAGAGTTCTTGGAAACTATATGTTTACCATTTCTGTGTCTTTGATCAAGGGTGGTTTTTGTTGGGTTTTTTATTTTAGGGG